CGAGGGAATCCGGTCCTTAGTCCATCCTCGAAACTATCAGTTAACGCTCTATTCGAAATGCAATGATAATTTACATAATATTCAAAGCAGCGTCTTAAAACCGTTCACAGGATTCCACCAGAAGAAACTGTAACAATTCCTCTATTTGTAAAAAGAATAAAAAAGATGGCATCACAATCTCAAAATAAACCACTTAAACAGTGTGATATTTTTGTTACAGCCCACTCGACACCGTGTAAACAAGGGATTATTTATAAAGCTAGCGAGTAGGGTGGATTCCAGGTCGATTTCAGGTAGAAAGAAGATTCGAAGCTAAAGAACAGGTTGATTACGAGATCATCTCACAAAATAAACAATAAGACACGGATGAAGAAGGAGATCAATGGATACACCTGGGGTATCTTAATTACCTTCTGTCTACTCCTATATACCAGAACAATAACATATCTCACTAACAAACGTTTACTCAGATCCGGGCGTCAGGTATATTTTTAAAAAAATTTTTTTTGTCAACATCTTTTGTGTGCGATGTAAATTCGGGCATAAAATACCCCACTTACGGTTTACACAGATCCGGGCGTAAGGTATTTTGCGTGCGATGTAATTTCGGGTATTGTCGCCGTTTTTCAAAAACATATTTCGGGCGTAAGGATTTTTAGGGGTGGGGGTGTAAAAAAAAACCCCAAAAAGCTGAAGTATTTCGCCAACAGCTTCTTTGTCTTCGTTTGACAACCACATACCACACTTGCAAAGTTTTACTATCTTTGGGTTTTTTTACCCTTTTTTTTTTAATAAACTTGAGTATTTTGCCAACATATTTTGTATGCGATGTTATTATCTCCGTTTTGCAATCCGCTTGAGGAAGATATTAACTTCCTGTACGATATGCTTTGTACACCATGCCGTGTTAATAATTGTTTAAAATAATATCTCGAAAATTGTTGTGGATATACCTATTGTAAAAGAAAAGTTACTGCAAAACAAGGTGTTATCTGAATGTTTATTGTTTATCTTAATAATTTTAATGAAATGAGAGTTTGAAGTCTTACTTTTCTGCACTAACCCGGCTTATGAAGACAGACATAATATCAAGACCAATTTTTATCAGCCCTGCAACTGTGTTTATATCGGTATATTTCGACTAGACTACTGTTAAATGAAACAAACGGGTACTATTGATATATACTACGGTAAATACAGGTAGATGGTGAAATATCTGGTTAATTACAACAGGGTATAGGTAACTTATAGGTAACAATTGAGTGAAACAAGAAAACTTGTTGATATACAACATGTCATTAAGAGAAAGTCTGTATAAGACTAAATTATATATACTTATATATAGATAAGTAGAAATAAATGGTAAAGACATTAACTATATATATATAATACATAAGTATAATTAACATGTTATATGATAGATGGCTGTGCATGTTATAATACATACCAACACATACATCTTTATATATGATATTGATGACATAACAACAACAGTTGGTCTTGTCTGTATATTATGAAACTTAATGCAATAAAGATAAATATAGAATATTAATAATAATATCAGTTTAAGATACATCTATGAATTACTTATTGTGTAATCGCAACAATTAATTAAAGATGCTGTTCTCTATGAATATAAGTGAGAAAATGATCCAGTCCCTACAAAGATACAATATCTGAAAATTTCATAACATTCGGCATTCTCAACAGATGACATAAAAAAGTCAGTGCCACTTATAAGTGTAGAGTAGGCCTTGTTTTTTTTTAAAATTCGACTGAACTCATGCTAGGGGGATTATCTGCCTTTAATATTTTGGTTTTTATTTCTTTATTAATTCTTAAATAATCAATTTGAGTATAATTTAGCGAGGACTAAGCGGGGAAAACTTTGATATAAACCGAAACTATGGCCGCTTATCACTGTTAATAAGATCGCGATCACGTCTGAAATAAAACGCCGTGATTCAACTCAATATTCTAACTAAACGCCATCTTCTGCATTGGCCGAGAAAGTTCATCCAGATTTTCCGGCGTGGTTCCCCCTTGTTAGTGATGCAGGACGGAGGGCCTGACAAGGACAGCCGTCTAGTCCTTCGGATGAGATAAAAAACCGAAGTCCCGTGTATACATTGGCATGCACGTAAAAGATCCCTTGGCAGTTGGAATTTCGATATAAGAGTAGGCGATAGTGCCGCTGCCCGGGCAAAATTTTCCTCATAGCACACTCTATGGCGTATGCCAGTCTTCATTCGCCCAGTATAGGAGCAGAACAGTATGACGTTAAACCCCATTTCATTTCATTTCAAACGCCATCTTCTCAACACCTATATATGACCATTGCTCTGTTTAAAAAGGGGTTAACTGGGGTTATTTCTATCCATAAACCAACACGTTTTCAACCGGGGTTTCTCGAAGAATTTCCACTTACGTACTTTGTTATATTGACTGAATTTGTGTAAACAATTTGTAATTATTTTATTCTGTTCTGGCCAGAAATGACTGCTACACATTATTAACCTTTTCTACAGGAAGTTCAAATGTTTTCAATTATGAAATAATTTCTTAACCACTTGAGATTCAGGATTGGATTATACTCGATAGATTATGACCCATAACCCATAAAAGAAATTAATGTAATAAATAAAAGGTATGCTTTTTTCTCTTTATGATGCAAAATAAAATCGATATTTATAAGTAATTTTATACTGATTCTATATATTTGTTAGATTTCAGAAATTCGCATTAGGAATACAAGATATTATTGCTAGTAAATCTCCAACTCGACTAAGGCAACAACTTAGAATACAAAATAAACGAAAAATTCCATGAAACATGAAAAAATAGCGGCACACCTGGCTAAATATATATGAAAAATATCTGAATTTCGCAAAATAAAAACATGGCAAGTCATAGACGACATACAATCGTAGACACGGACTACTCATAGAAACATAGAATGACTCAAACAAAATAAAGAAAAACACAGCTATGAACGTACCAGTAGACACCAGTGAATACTCAATTGGCTTTTCGCATTTTCTCAGTGTGCCGTTCAAAATTTCGCGGCACACTTAGAAAGATTTCGCGGCACACCTGAGTGCGACGGCATACTGGTTGAGAATCACTGATCTATGGAGACAGAAGATTCAAGAAGTCTACAACCGAATGATCTCCCCCTCTGGCGATAAAATAAATTAGAGACACCAACGGTTTCAAATGTAGGGCTTCTCTGTTCAAAAGAGCCGACGACTAAGAGGACATGGGCAATAATCCTCTAGATAAGTTCCGTCATATAAATGACTAATTTATTATAATTTCACATTTATTAAAAACAAAATCGGCCGGGTCCACCGCCGCTCTTGAGGACCCTGTTAGTAGTCTGGACTCAGATCTGTGACAGAAGCCAACTAAAGATAAATTCCATATCATACATTACTAAAAACTGTACATATATTATACATGCTACCTACAAGGAAGAAAATTGATAGAAGTCCCATTGACTTATTTTGTACCCATTTCTTTCTGCCTTTACATTGTACAATACTTTTCGATATAAATACTGTTTAAACCAACCCAACACAATTCCAAATCTCAATGGTCTTGAACATCTCTGATAAAAACCAATAACAGTGCAAATCAACTTCTTTATCTCAGTGGCTCGAATAATAATAATAACAAGAACAAATGACTACAAAAACATGTTTAATCTGCAGTCCTGGTATCATTTACAATCAACTAGGACATCTTAAATAAAACAGATTAAGATTGATGACCTTCCATGACTCCCAATGCAAACACAAAGGCATGTTTTATTAATCCAGCCAAGCGAGTTCCAAGATTAAAATCCCTCCAGATACTCGTAACAAGGAATAAAAATAATTTTCTCTCGGATTCAATTTGATCAAAAAACATAAGAAATACAGGGGATATTGATTTCAAATGAAGAATGAAGATGGATATTGATGATGAACAAGACGTCGGGCGACAAGAAGCTTTAAGTACTTCCAAAAGAGATATTTTAGGCTGAAAACACATCTATTGTCGGCTCCATCTTTCCTATAATATTTGAGATGTGTTTGCTTTAATCGGCTTAAGGAGGTCTTAAACCCTGGTCTCAATAAATACAGGGTTTTTGAGACTTATTCAGTAATATCATAATGATGAATAGGGTGGAGATTATGGTTACGTCTAGCGGTAAAGTTAAACCGTTAATCAAGATTTTCTACCATACTTTCTCGGCTAATGTCTAATAATATGGTTACATTACGTAGAAAATAATACCAATAGAGTTCAAAGAGCCCCGTGAAGGTGATCAGTAAGTTCACCCGTTTGAACGTCTGATTATTGCGAGACGCCATTTCTTAGACAAGTGTTTAGTAAATAGTGCTGATAAATTACGTTTAATGGCAAATCGAGGGCTCTAAAGTGTTATACGTCATCAAAATGATGGCACCATAAAACATATTGTATTAGAAAAACTTTCAGCAGATCGTAACTAATGAAAGATCTGGAAATCAGTCTGGTGCTAATAGGATTCTGTAACATTAGCAATCTGGTTTAACGTAAGCATTCATATAGGGTTATATCGCATACATATTCTCAAAATGGACATCAGCTTGATTCCAACCGTTGATTCTATTAAAGAATCAGAGGACTAAGTAATAAATTAACATTCATTAAAGGAGTGAAGTCTCTAACTCAATAGCATCCACAGTCTTCGACATTGCAAACAAACACGACTTATTGGTCAATTTAAATCAACGATATTTAAGACAAAATGAAAATTTTAAAACTGTACACGAATCGCGTGCCAGAATACTTTCGAGAGCCATTTGTAATGAAGTGACCCGAAGTACGAGGCCAAACATACCCAACAGGAGAATACTACCGGTGTCCACTGGAATAACTAGACGCCTAAGACTGCAATTCAATTTTGAAACGATAAATGTAAATCAGTTTATATACATTCATATTACATTCGTGTGCTTAAAAACACTAACCTGAAGAGGGCGCCACGGGGTCTATCAGCTGTCCACCAAACCTGTAGATGCAATGGGTAATATCAATAATTACAATGGGTAGTATCTATAAGTACAGAGCTAATTGAGTTTATTTGAGGCAATATAACCTGGCCATTTGATTAAAAAATAAGAGTGCAAACAAACTAAAAATGATTAACTCCACATATTTTAGATATTAAGGAAAAAAAATCTTATTTTTGCCTTATGATTTTATAAAATCAAATAATTTCTATCAGAGAAAGTATTTTTTATATGGACAAAAATTGGTCCATTTGAATTTAATTGTAATCTCGATGGCTAAATGTATTGGGACGGATATTCTACCATTAATTTTAAATGGGCCAGAAAAGGGGGCGGAAGTAATTTTAAATGTCCGCAGTAAATGAATTGTAAACGATATAATTGGCATAAAACGTCGTTTAAGCGAATGTTATTGACTACTACATTTTATCCCTAATCAATGTTATCGCAGTGTTTGACTGCTCCAACAGAACCATAAAATCCATTAAATGCTTTTGAAGATTTGATTTACAGAAACTGCTTTAAAATAGATACTTAATTTGGGTAACAAATCAATTTCATATTTAGCCAAAAATAGCGTGTTTTCATTTCTGTCGTATCAGGAACTATCACTTATTTCCTGCAAACGTTCGTGCCTTAAACAAAGTTCGGCAAATCGTTGTACCTAAACGGCGGTCGTGATTTCTGAGAGATTGTGTGTATCCCTTCGCCTGAACTCGTTGGGTAGCAACAAATCGATGAGCTTTATGAGGCGTTGCTGTTAATAATGACCGTATTGCGCCTAAAAAGATAGTCCCGAGTCAGAAAGACAAATGTAATCACCAACGTTTGGAGCAATCAAATCAGGTTTCAACACAATTCAATTACTGAAAATGAGTTTCAGTAGAACGATTGAGGTTTCTGCACGTCACAAGAACTTGTCAATACAATGAAGAGTAGAGAAAGTTGATTGTTGGAAGGGTGAATGGAGCTTGTCGTCCTGTAGATTGTTACATTATTAACGTCCCGTCTTTTTTCCATTCTAATTAATGACGTTTCATCACTCACGGTTGTATTTTTAACCTTATTTTATTTGAAAATCAATTTGGTTCCACACAAAGTTTTTCTTAGTAATTTCATTTTATTGGCACAGTATTTATTCATTAATGCTTTCTTGGCTTAATCTTATAGATTGCATTTTGTTTTTTCCAGATTTTAAAACCTATCTTGATTTAACTACGGAACCTTTCTCCACATACGAGTGAAGGACTTTAGAAACTACTTACTACCAGGCGTAAATGAGGCCATGTCGCATCAGCTGAGGCGTCAGTGGAAATGTGCAGGGGTGAACTTTTCATTCGAAGCTAACCGTATACAGTCTTTCCTTTCTGGTCGAGGCTAAGAGTTTATAGATCGTTCATGGGCGTTAACGCCCGTTTATTCACGAGGAAATATCGCAGACAAATGTTTCCTAGAAACTAATCAACATTGAGAGGGCTAGTGCAGCATGGGATACGAAAGGGAGGATGCAAAAGGGAAATTCATCACTCACCCTCCCCGTAAAGAGAGGCGAAGTCGTGCTTTTGAGATACAGAGTCTAATGGAGTCCATACAAGTTTTATATATTGTCCATAGAGTGTGTCCAGGCTGATATTCGATTCCGTCAGCGATTATTCTTAATGGCAACCCACAAAACCACACCGTTTCTTCTTAAATTAGTTCCTTATCCAGGACATACTCCAAATCGCAAATTTTACCGGGAATGATTGCCCTCCGCCCCCTTTTGGAAACCCTGACGCCACTATTGCATACGTATACGTAATATTTAGAAAATGGATGGACATCGTGGATTACGAGAAATGGAACTGCAGCTCCAACCCTTTATCCATGCAAACTTAAATCTCTTTAACATCGATCGCAAGTTAAATCAGCATTCTGTTATCACTGATAACCACAGTGAACGACCATGGCTGGTTTCAATCAATAAGTCACAACTAATGATTTCAAATTACAATCAAGGATTTCAAATTCGGATCAATTATAACACACGTAGGTTTCCCTAGATCATTTAGATAGCAAACTATAACGTTATTTGAGCATTAGGCGACCAGGTATCTAAACGTCTTTATCTGTGATTGCATTTTGATATTCGTGTAAACATGAATATTAATTAAATATTATTTTATCACGAAATCAACTTACCAGAAATCTTGTAATAATCCTCTTAAAGCTCATAAGAACCGCGGGGTTAATAATCCATAACACAATCTGATATACTAGTATATACCGTTATTCTAGAACACATCTATACACGAGAAGATACAACTACAGAATACTTATACACACGTTAACAGGTCCTCACACTGATCTTCTATGGCTTTCTTGTAATTTACACAAAACAAATTCGTTACTTCTAGCATCCACAATTCTTTTTTTCGTTCATTATTTGAAAGAAAGTGAAGAGAGCTGAATCTGGTTACGGGGTTTACTTGTTGGTTACATGTGTCAAAATAAAAATAGATTCTTAATGTGTTGTTTGGGTTGAATACTGAAACTGGTGTTTATATATTAAATTATACAATCCCATTCTTTTATTCCTCAACACTCCATGTCTAATCGTATTGATCTGCGCTTTGCATAATAAACAAAACAAAATTCACCGTGAGTTATTATGGTACAGCAGCTGTCTCTATACGTATCATATAATATGTTTCTAAAAACTCATTTAAACTTTCATAGAAGTCACTCAGTTTTTGAATAGAATATAAATGAAGTTATTGACGTAATGATATTAAAGTTTACTTTCCTTGATTTATCAGCAATCAGTTAAATTTAAACTTATATACATTGATACACTTGCGTATCTTAAACGTTTTCTTAACTCATAACAGATACGAACTCGGTGTTCAAATCTGAAGAACGTTAAGAGCAAGCAGCTTATCAATGGAAAAACTATCAATTATGTACTTAAATAATAAGCCTACTTAGCACTGGAATTACCGTCTTCCAAACCACCTCATTGAATTAATTACTTGGCATAGATAAAAATAAATCACACTAAATGGTTTCTTTATTTTCTTCAAATAAAAGGTTTGAAATCTCGGATTGGAATAATTTCATTTAGTTAATACGGACTTCTGGAGTCATTGTTTGAAGATCTGATTTTGTTAACTTTTAATTGTTACAACATTAAAGACATTGTTACCACACTTAAGACACAACTTCTTTTCATAGTTACCACTGTAAACAAACAACTTCTTTTAACAGTTGCACACGAAAGACCCAACTTCATTTACAAGTTACCACACTAAAGACACAGTTTCTTATATTAGTAATCAGACTAAGGACACAACTTTTAATAGTTACCACACTAAAGACACAGTTTCTTATATTAGTCCTCAGACTAAGGACACAACTTTTAATAGTTACCATACTAAAGATACAACCTTTTATATTAGTCACCAGACTAAATATACGGCATATTTTACTAGTTACTTCACTAAAGACACAACTTCTCCTATTAGTTACCAGACTAAAGACACAACTTATTTTATTAGCTACCTCACTATAGATGCGACTTCTTTTAATAGTTGTCACACTAAAGTCACAACTTCTTTTGATATTTTGTTTTAATAGTGACCACACTAAAGATACTTCTGTTGATAGTTACCACACTAAAGACACAATTTATTTTAATAGTTACCACACTAAAGACACAGCTTCTTCTATTAGCTACCAGAATAGCGACACAATTTCTATGATTTAAATTTAGGACACGACATATGAAAACAGAACTGTAAACTGAATACAAAATTATGTGTGAAATGAATTTAGTTAACGTCCGTGTTTAAGCAGGTATTCGTAGAACTCAAGTCAAGTGCCGATCGACCCTACTGATTCATATTTTGTTCCAAACATACGCACATAATATCACACCCATTAAAAAGGGTCAGTATACTGTTGTATTAAGATATGGAGCTAAAAGAAGAACTCATACGGCTATCACTTGTATTAATCAACTAGATCTTGTGTTCAGTGTGCAGTATAGTGTTTAATACGTGTAATTACCATTTCTTCTACCAGTATTCGATATAGTATCAAGCCAGCCATTCGTATCTTACAATAATATTGCTTTATCTTTGTGTTTCTCCCCCCCCCCCCATCTCTCTCTCTCTCTTTGGTGGGAAATCCAATCGTATTAAGGATATGAGATTTTGTTACATGGTGGGTATGAAGTGGTTGACTTCAAGGTCGGTAATATCCTTTCAGTTAATACAAGAAGCTTAAATGGAATTTTTATTATTATTTTCTTTTTCTTTTCTATAAGAACACCTTTGTAAGCCAAATTAATGACTCAAGCTGCTACGAGCCGAGTTTTAGTCCCTATACTTTTTAAAGAATCCATGCATTTTTAGTTCAAAATTCAGCAATAACCACCGTTATATCTCATACAAATATAATTAGTTTACCATTTCTACAGTTTCTTTAATTTGTTTCTGGGTTTGTGGCCCCCAGGACCAAGGAGAGGGGGTGGGGCGCATAAACATCTATTTTCTTTTACGTCCTACTCTGGCTATACAGGGAAAAATACACAAAATGCATAGATGTGGGAGGGTGTCCAAAAATATTCTCCCGGCGATTCTGGTGACCACAGGTTTTGACCGTCTCAGAACAGGCTATCCCATCCAGTTCTAGTTACTGTCATTTTATTATTTTTATCTTTTTCAATTATTTCTGCTCTGCTCTCCCCAACCCTTCGTTAGACGCAAAATGAAAGGGTTGAAGTTCAACGTCGTGATAACTTCCGAGGCGGGGGTCTCAAACTTTGTCTTTCTCTGGCGTATAAAAATTTTCTCGATGGCCCTCTTCGTCAAATGCCAGCTGTCGAGGGTTCTGTTACGTTCACATCAACGTGTGCATGGTGGGATCCAGGTTTTTTGGCCTATCAAAACGACCATCCAATATTTTATTTATCACCCCGCAGGTGCTACACCCGACACATGGGGATCTCGAACATTGAATATTCTAGCGGAATATTCAATGCCTTTTCCGACCGAGTAAACCCGGTCCTTAAAAACGATTTTAAGAAAGAATATTTGGAAGATCTTGAGAATATTGGCAGTTCTGAGTAGACCTACTTCGGTATAAAACCCCCAGATCATGTCTTGGCGTGTACATATCTATATCTATTTATATTACAACATATTTTTACCTATAGTCAGGTAGTGTAAATATTATTGTTATTACATCATTAAGTTATTTTTTTCATAAATGTTGTTTTTTACCGTTAAGATGTTGATTGACAGGTATGTTTATTTATTCTATATGTGTCTTATTATTTACAATATACTGCTGTGTTATATAAAATATTATTTACTGATGTGAAGAATATAGACGTGATAGCGCATGAAATGTGCGTACCACTACAGGTCACCACAGCTTTCCTCCATTGACTTTTAATGTTAATTCTCGTCTTTTGACCGGTTCTAATTTTTCCTAAATTTTCGTTGGGTTGAAAGTTTTCTACCACAGACTGGGCAACATCTACCGATGGACATCTTGATATACACAAACTGGAAGTAGCATACTAATAAATACGCAAATATCAATGATCTCTTGACTCTGTTGTCCTTCCGCCTCAAAAGCATGAGATTTCACCAAAACCTGACAGAAAATTAAATTCAAATTACAACAAAGAGTAAATAAAATTTCCTATGGAAAATGGGGAAAGGGACAGAGGGAAATACTATAAATAGAAGGTACTACATTAGGTGACCAAACTGAGGTTATTTAATCGTGGTCTGTTCGAATTTAAACGTATTAATATTCTTAGAAACGATGTATTGTAGTTGAAATAATTATTCCAAAGAGCACATTTTGTATTTCGTTTAATACAAACGGTTGCAACTGTAAAAACTCGTTATCTTTTCTAAATATGTAATCTTGTAAAAAAGATGAGCATGGTGACTCATGAACTGCATCGATGCTTGGGCTGCACCCTTTTTGTCTATCTATATCACTCGAACAATTCTTATTCTGTAAACTTTTTTACACGTAAATATTTGATAACTTGATAGTTTACTCACTTTCTCTGTTATGCAAATAAATTATTTTATAGGAAAAATACCGATTCAATTTCGGATTTTACAGGGATCAAAATTAAGTTTAAAAAGCGTTTCTATGCCCCACAACTACCCTTGTCGATAAGGGCCCGTACACTAGAGGCACGGATTCAGATCGTTTTTCTAACAAACTATTTAAATTTAAAGATAAAAGCCTCTCTATACCCCAAGAGAAGTTCTGGTAGTTTTCAAACCCCAACTCTGGTGTCAACTTCTTTGATTGTCTTTTAATACAGTTGGTGATCAATCTAACAGATGTTTTACTAATACTACACGTGGGCAAAATACAAAATAGAAAACAGATTTTCAATTAAAAATGGCCATAAAATCTTTTTTGCACACAATCCACACGCTGACTTGAATTAAATCACTCTTTTCTGCACTTATAAAAATTGTGCAAAAGCTTGTTAATTCCAAAATCTCAGATCTGATTATTTTAAGCTCCATACACCCTTCCGCGTAATTTCTAATACAATATATCACTGTGGAAATGATAAGGGAGAAATTGATTGAACCCAGTTTGCAGGTTCACATTACATGGAATTATTAAATTTGATTTAATTCTTATTCCAGCAACGAACTTCTCCCTCTGCATGACTGATTACTTTCTTAGATTAATATAGTTTTTGGCCAGTCAGAATTTGAAGTGAAAGGAGAATTCAGTGGAATAAAAATGTTGATATATTTCTTTCGCGGCATCCCAAATCGTAAGACTGGATCACACAGCATCAGTGAGTGTCATTAATCATCATAGAAATAAGCTTGTCAAGAAAGACGACTTATTTTAACAGCAAGTCGTTACGAGACTGGAAGCAACAAATCAACGTCACCATTGTTTGAATTCCAAAGCCGTCTGGATTGTGTACATGTTCAGAAATCAGAAATCATTTCCCCCTTGCTTGTATAAAAGATAAGTGTATTTAGCAAAAACTGAGAACATGAATGAGGCGTTCTACGATATATACTTGAATGAAATGGCACCAAAAAAATAGAATATGATAATGGAATAGAATTTTGAATCTACCACACTTAATTTGTTTTTGCAATGCGATACGGCAAATATTTTTATTGTATTTCCAACTCTCAGGCAAACTTCAGTGACTAATGTTCTTTCTGTCTTATATCACAAGTGATTCTAATACAGATCACAATGTACAGATACTATAACGGGAAACGGCGACTAAAATACCTTTAGTTCTTGCTCTATATCGCCTCATACGATTTGTTTTCCCAGGTTATCAAACAAAGATCGTATGTAATAAAAAGTTCACCATACTTATCTGATAGTTTCTATATTTCATTTTTCCATTGTTGTGAGCCATTTGCCTTGGTGTTTTTATGACACTGGATACCAGTGGAATACA